TGAGTATATTCCTTTTGTTTTGTTGGGTAATCCATTGTATGACAATTGTCTTCAGCCAATTGTTTTTTTTTTTTTTTTTTTTTTTGGGGGGGGGGGGGGGGGAATTTCCCTTTTTTGTGCTAAAATATTTTAAATTTGTCAAACTGTGTTACATATTCCATAGATTTAACCAAATAAATGGGATAAATTGTGCTGTTGACAGAGTTCCAATGAAAAATCGGTCCTTTGACGCTTATGTTGAGTTTAGAAGGTTTTCCATGCTTGAATGAGCCACAGGTCAGAGATACTTGGCTTAATACGTGTAAAAGAAAGCTGTCCCTCAGAAAATGTTGAAGTATTAGACAGAAAATTTGTTGAAAAGCAGACAATCTTCGAAAGTGTCATGTTTTAGTAAGACAATCCCAAAGTGCAGACAGAAACTCAAATGACAAAAATAAATAATCTAATTTACTGAACAAAAAAATAAATAAATAAAAAGACTGCCGCGGCAGCTTACAATCAAAAACACAACTGACACAAATGAGAAAAATGACACAAGCTTTAAAGGGAAACTAATGAGGGAGAAATCACTACACCTGGGGAGAGACAATGAGGAACAGGTGAGTGGGAGGGACAGGAGCTAAAGTAGGGAAGAGACACTGGGGAAGCTGAAATACAAGAAAAACAAAATCACAGAAAACTAAATAAACACGCAACACATAAATCATGACAGAAAGCCTTTAAATTAATGGTCAAGACCACTTTATAATATTACAATAAAGTCTTGCTTCATACAATGTATAAATAAAGGACTCAAGTCTAACAGTATGAATAAAGTCAAAAACTCTAAAGATAATTTTAAAATTACCCCACATGCTTTTTTTCTGCCTTAATCAAATAATTTAGTTTTGTTCTAAAATTATGATATTTTGGTAAATAATGGTTTAGACTGAGTATACTGGACAAGCAGCAAATGTTTGAATGTTAAGGGATGACAAACCTTTAAACAGCAGAGATTAGTCATCAGTGAGAGGAGCTCATAGTTACAAGTAAGAAAAAAAAAATGCCGTAGGCTGCTCTTACTGCTATTACTTGTTTATTGGCTATGATGTGATGCTAGCAAGCCACTGAATAACACGGGCCACACACATTTGCACCATTCCCACTGACAGCACTACTGTTGGCAGGAATGCTGGGATTCATTACCTCACACACTGACAATTGAGGTTTACTGCAGGTGGCTGAAGGTTGTAAAGTTGATGTGATTTTAGTTATAAAAGTGGGATTTGTTTTATTGTATAGCTCAACTGCCACCACTGATCCTGTCAACCTGGACTCTCTTAAGCCATATCTTAAGCAGTCTAGTAAAAATCTCGGTATGGTTTTAGACTCTGACTTCAAGCTTGACAAACAAATCAACTCTGTTCTGCAAAAACACTTCTTCCAACTAAGACAGGTAGCTAAGCTCAAGCTAGTGTTGTCCAGACTCAACCTTGAGAAACTAGTCCACGCCTTTGTCACGACCCGATTGGACTATTGCAATTCACTCTACGCTGGGGTCAGCCAGGCCTCCATCTCACGTCTTCAGCTCATCCAGAATGCTGCTGCTCGGCTTTTAACTGGAACTCATAGGTCTGAACATATTACACCAGTTCTGTCCTCCCTTCACTGGCTCCCTGTTCATACTAGGATAGTCTTTAAAATTCTTCTGTTGATCTTCAAATGCCTAAATGGCCTCGCACCCCTTTATTTCTCCGAGCTACTGGAACCATACGTTCCCTCTCGGGCCCTGAGATCATCCGATCGGCTGATTTTGGCTGTTCCTAAAACAAGACTGAAGCTCAGAGGAGATTGGGCTTTTTCAGTCATGGGCCCCAAACTCTGGAACAACCTGCCCCCCAACATTAGGCAGGCCACCTCCCTTCAAATCCCTGCTAAAAGAGCAGCTTTGGATGTTATCAGTTCATTAAATGGCCGTTATTAGTCGTTATTATCCCTATATGTAGCGGTCAAACTGTCCCACCTACCTCCTAGTAGGTTTAAAGGTACGTTATTATTGTTATTATTGTTGATGATAGGCAGCGTCACACAGGGGTAAACCAGGAAGTGTCTTTTTAGTTGTTTTCAGCTTATGCAACCCTTTTCCTAAATTTAAGATTACACCTGACCCTGAGGACCAACCCTAAACTTAACCCCCTTACCCTTGTGCCTAAAATTAACCAAGACCGTAAACCTAACCGCCAGACCCTTTACTCTAAACCTAACCATGTGAAGCTATTATGAGCGCAAACGAAGCTAAAAATAGAGCCTATTATCATCGCTAACAACATACCTTTAAACCCACTGGGAGGTACAGGAGGGGCAGTCTGACCGCTACATATGGAGATGATAACTAATAACGGCCATTTAATGGCTGAGAATATCCGAAGCGGGTGGCTAAAAAATCTGATCTCACAGGCATTTCACACAGTGCGAGTTGATTTTAGGTTTTTTTTGTTGTTGTTGTTCTGTGATCCTATGTTTTAAATGCTTTTTATTAATTCTTCAGTATTATTATTAGTGTATGGTATTTTTTCATCAATTTTACTCCCGTTCATGTTGTTGTTAAGCACTTTGATAACAGGTTCTGTTTTAAATGTGCTCTATAAATAAAGTTGCCTTGACTTGACTATTGTGTCTCTTTGCACACCTAGGAAGAAGACGCAAATATGTCAAAGAGAAGAGGTCAGAGGAAGTTTGCCTTTTTGTCGCTGTTATTGGTAAGTTTTCCTCCTCGGTCTCAGTTAAACCCGACTCCTCTCCTTTACCTTCATTTGACCTCACTTTCATCACTCGTTCCTTTGATTTTATCTGCATCCTGTGCTTTTCTGGTTACATTTTCAACACATTTGCTCATATATCGGCCTTGGAGTTATTTCATCCTTGGAAAAACTTTTTGATCCAGCAGACAAGATTGCAACAATAAATGATTCCACAGGTGGTGGTACATCATTCAGAGTTTGTACAACCCCGCTCTTGTACCAATTTGCAAAACTTGAGTTTTGCAGAAAGTAGATTTCTTTATAATTGTAGTTTTGATGTTGAAATGCTCTGGCAAAGTTACGGAAAGGCTCTTAGCACCTCACCCTCTTTGACTCCTTCATCTGTTATCCTCTATCGTGACCATGTTTTCCATTAAAGTTACCCTTTTAATGTGACCCTGAGATCTAAACTGATATCAAACAGGAAGCAAAAATGGAGCTGTCTCGTTCTTAAGACAAAATGTTTGATTATCGGTAATTCTGTTTTTTGGCAATTTTTGCTAATATTTTTACCACCCTGTTTTGTTTAAGAAAGATTGTGCTGGACACTAAAATGATAGTGAATAACCACAGTTTCAGTGTTGCTTACAGTTGTAGCCATTTGAATAATATGTTATCTACTGTTTATTATTTTTCCTAACTTCTGAAGTACAACATCTTAGATCTTTTCAGAGATTTTTTTATGGCAACCTAACAAAAAGCAGTAATCTTAATCTTAATGCAATAAATTAAATTATATGTTTTTCTGCATCACTTTGACATATAATGCACCCATATTTTGTGTACTGCACTGTATACTACACTGTGTACTATATGCTTGATGCTTTTGAATGGGTCAGATGTAACCACACACCTTTTTTTTTCCCAGTTTATTCACACTCACAAAAAAAATCATAGTACATAATACATAATACATAACTACAAGATAACAGTGCGTGAAACCTCTTTATTCTGAAAAGGACTACTGATCCTGGCTATACTCTTTTGCCATTACATGCTTCTAAACTGACTGTTTTATCTTAAATAACCTTATAATTAAAACATATTTTTCACATTTTTTTTGGTTTCCGTTTGCATAGACACTCAATAGGAACAATGATGCAATAATGGGCTTAGAGCTGGTAGAGGAATGATAATTTTGCCTCTTTATTTCACTTAGCCTCAGTAAAATCTGGACTCAACTCACAATAAACTTGGGCTGGTTTTTTTTTTTTTTTTTTTAGTTACTAGACTCATTTTTTAAGGGGGTGGTAAGGTTGTTCAATTAGTTGCAGTTTCAATTCTCACCACTAGATGTCACTAATTCTCACAATACGTCGACTTGTTGAATTGTATTTACATCAACTGTACTTCAAGCATGTAAACTAAGGGTCAGCCTTGTTTTTTGGATCTGGTATGTATTTTTATCAGGTCGTCTGGCCAGAAAAGAACAGGCTTGTGTACATAAACACTTGTTCAAACAGCGCCATGTGCCTGCCGACAGGAGATGGTTAAGAAGAACAGGAAAGAAGGAGAGAGATGTTATTAAAACAACAGAGTAAAGATGGAGAGACTTAGTCATGAAATCATTTGTTTTCTCTTCATCATTTTCTGGACTGCAGATGATTGTTAAAAGTCAGTTAGTTTGTTTGGAGAAGGACAAAGTCTGCTGGAAAAGCTATAAATACCAGCTGCTACTTATTACATTAGGCCACAGTGACACAATGCATAAACACACACACATGCGTGCACACACACACACATTTCCATCACTGCAGGGGGCATTACATTAGCTTCTTTTTGTTTTGAAAATGTACCCTGAACCACAACTTGACTAAATTTAAGCTTACCACAACTTGAACCTCAAACCCCACTTTTTAATACACTCCACATAAAAACTAATAGTTGCTGTTTTGGGGGATTTTTGTCTCTAAAAGTGAGGTGCCTTAATTCCAGTCAAGGACTGTGTAAACACATGGAAGCCCCCAACAACAAGAACACACACACACCACATGAGCAAATGCTAGTATTGTGCAACGTTTTTATAAAGAACGCTCAATGATCACAGAAAATCTTTGTTTCAAAGACAAATAAGTCAAGATATGACAGTTGTCTTTTTGCAGTTTGCTTTATGCCACACACAATAAAGCTGATGATCCTTAGCAACCTGTTTAGGATTATGGATTAATAAATGCATCATGCAGTACAGTTATGACTGTTTTTATTGTCTCATTGCTTATGCAGCATTCACACTATTGAGATCCATTTTTCTTCCGTAAGTTTTTCTGCATCTTTCTTGTTCAACACTTTTTGTGCTATTTCAACAAATCATATCAAAACATTCAGCTCGTTCAGGAGAGGGGTGCTGTGACTTTTGGTATTGGTGCAGTTTTAGCTTTTTGGAATATTTAGCCTTTTCTGCCATTTTTGTTTCTCTTCGGAAATAAATTGAGCACATTTTCCATCCTTCAAATCTTTAGATCCGTTTACAACATTTCACTGCTCCTTCCACATCTTCTTTCAGCTTGTGCAAATTTAAACTTTTTTTTTTATCTACTTTTAGCTTATTTCAGCCTTTTTTTTTTTTCAACTCTTGTAATTCTTTCAGGATCTTTCTGCTAACTACAACATTTTTGTGCTTCTTCTAACTTCTTTCTGTTAATTTCAGCTTATGTTTCTTTTAGCTTATTTCTGCAAGTTTCATTTTTTTCTACTATTTCAGCTACTATTTAGCTATTTTTATGCTAATTTGAGCTTTTTTAGCTAAGTCCAGATTTTTTGCACTCATTTCAACTTTTTTCAGCCTAATTCAGCAAAATTGTGCTCTCTCCACTCCTTTCTGGTAATTTAAACTTCTTGCTGCTTTTCAGCTGTTTTTCTTTTTCTTTTTGCTAATTTCAGCTTTTTTCAGATAATTTACATGCTTTTTGTTTTCATTTCTGCTTCTTTCAGTCTAATTGGGCAAACATGTTCTTTCTGCTTTCTTCTGATAATTTAGGTTTGTTCTACCATTTCAGCATTTTTCCCCTGATAATTGTAGTTGTTTTTTAGCAAGTTCTTCTGCAATAAGCATTTACACTGCATTTTCGCAGGAAACGCAATTTCTTTCTTTTCTCGTTTGACATTGTAATCACCTAAAGAATAACCTTAAATCTGAATTTCTTCACAAACAAATGATTGACTGTTCTTTATGCACATAGTATACTCACAATAACCCGTCAATGTTTGTCATCAAAAGGCAAATGTGGAGGATAATGTTTTTGCCCATCCCTGTGAATTTCTGTTTTAATTTCAAATATTGTTTAGTTGCAGCAGGTTAAACACTGTTTTAATGCCTTTTGATTCCAGCCTCAGGAGGATCTTGTTAGTTTCAGATCGGTGGCTTCTGTCAGAGAGTGACTGCAATCATTCTGAATGTGCAAGTTTTTGTCTTCATACGTGTTTAACATTTGTCTCCACTCACTGTGCCCCCCACCTGCCTGTCTCTCTCTGTCCCCCTCAGGTGTGTTGTGTGTTTGCTGGTGCCGAGTACTCCAGCTGTGGAGAGTATGAGTTCTTCAACCAGACCAGCAATAGCTGCCAGGCCTGTCCTCAATGCCAGCCGGGGCAAGAACCACATATGGTGAGTGTATTTACAAATAAGCACCCCCTCCCACACACACACACACACACACACACATGAAAACCATTCATTTAGCACGCAGTCCTGCTTGTTGCTATATTTAAAATAGTCTGCTTTGTGTGTTTACATCATTTGAATTCACTTTCCAGCAAGATTTTTTTAATTAACTAAAGGAATAAGGTTAATTGAACACGACTGCACTAAACTGACAAATAGCATGAGGAACAGAGATTTTGACGTGTGTCAGCTTTTGCGCAGACCACCCACAACCCTCACACATTGGACAGAACCACAAAAGCACACATAGCTGCACAGTGAAGGGTGCCTCAAGTCGAACGAACAATTATTTCATGCTTTTTGCTCTCATGGACATCAATGTAAAGGCACACACAGCACTGAATGATTTGCAGTAGGCTCATTGTGAGTTAGCGTTCGTCAGACAGTCTGCAGACGGCCAAAGTAAACACTGAGCAGGTAAACGCTTCAGTGGGCACCCCAGGGTGCCACACCCTCCTCGAACAGACAGCTGCATTCAAGAGTGAACAGTTATCTGGGTCTAGCAAACTCGTGTTTTGAGTTTTACCTTCACACTGTCAGGGGAAGGTACGGACTTTCCAGGCTCCTCACACTTAAAGTGAAGCAGTGGATGCATGGTGGATCAAACCAACAGTACAGTTTCCTACAATAAATTCAATTCATCCAGTTAGTTTGTGAGAATACTTCACAGCTGCAATTTAAAAGTTGAAAAACTCAAACAATATGTATTGAATACTGCTTATGGAACCACATTTATAAGAATATTTAGAAGGCTCAGATCATGGGAGCTTAGTTTAAAATAAAACGTAAAAATCATGGAAGCATTATTTGAATGTGCTTCATTTAAAAAAACACTGAACTTTCTATTTTCTTGTGTATTTTTTCTTCGAGTCATTTAGTTCCAATTAAATTAACAAAACAAATATATCAATGTAAAAAAAAAGCTAAAAGTTACACCAAATGTGAGCAACTCTCCCCCACAGAAATACAGCTTTTTGTGCTGTCTTGCTTGGGCTTCTTCTTTATTTTCTAACTTCGTTACAAGATTATTTAAATAACTGACATTATTTCATTTGTTGACGTTTTCATACAAAGACGCTGCTGTGCATGCTGGCATTTTGACTAAATTACAACATACTCATCTAAAAACTCAGTGAGAATTCAACAGAACATTTTAACGACATATGAACGACCCACCCCCAAGAAGGGTGGTGTCTCGGGCACCTATGAGCACCCAGGTGTGTCAAAGTAAAATGTTTTTCCATTGGCAGGAAGCTTGTTAGCCTGTCAAAATAAAATGCAAAAATAGTAATAATAATAATAATAATAATAAGTAAAACAAAAGTCCATAGATTATGTGACGAAGGTGTGACGATGCTACCAGTAAATACTTTTGGTGGCAGGAAGCTCTTTAGCCAGTGATAAAAATAAACAAGTAAAAATTACTGTTAATACTATTTTTAAAAAAGTATGTATTTTAACCATTTAAACCATTTAACCAGACCATTTTAACATTTCCCTGCAATATGGCGATGTCAACAAGTCTCCAACAACAGCAAGAAAAGCAGGAGAATTTTAAGTAGCTATGTAATACTATCTCCGGTTTCCTCCCACAGACCAAAAACATGCATGTTAGGCTGATTGATAACTCTAAATTATCCCTAGGTGTGAGTGAGAGAGTGAATGGTTGTTTGTCTCGTTTGTCTCTATGTGGCCCTGTGATGGACTTGCGACCCGTCAAGGGTGTACCCCGCCCCTCGCACCGTGATTGCTGGACATGGGCACCAGCAACCCCCGTGACCCAAAAAATGGAATAAGCGGGTAAAGAAAATGGATGGATGGAT